CTTTCTTTCTTTCTTTCTTTCTTTCTTTCTTTCTTTCTTTCTTCAGTAGGGACTGAATTCTTCTTCCACTTGAGCCATGCCCCCAGCCCTCTTTTGCCTTTTAGTCTGTTTTTTAGACATAGTCTCATACTTTTTTTTTTTAAGCATCAGTTGGTTGTACGTTTAGGTTGGTTTCCTTTTGACATGTCCATATATCTTACAGTGTACTTTGATTACAGATTCACCCCATTACTCTTCCTTATCCCAACTCCCTTGTCCCATGCTAATTTCACTAAATTACTTCACTGTTGCATTTTCACACTTGCGCAAAAAAGTATTTTGACCCTGTTTGCCCTCCTTCACCCTCTCCATTCACCCTTTTTGTAGTATCCATATCCCAGAAGGGACATGGTTTTTACTTTACCTTCCTAACATTCATTTTTGTTGAGGTGAATGTTCATTTTTACCATGTAATTTTGCACACATGCATCTGCAGAACTTTGATCAGATTGACCTCCTGGTCTACTGTCACTTACCCAACCCACTTACCATCTAGTATTCAACAGCTTTCAGTGCGTTTATTTTTATCACCTCCGTTCACAGATGCAATGTGTTTCAATATATTTTAGTATTGTTCACTAATATGCTCTCCCCCTTCACTTCTAATTTCCTCAGGTATTCTTAGTCCCAAACATGATTTTGTGTGTGTGTGTGTGTGTATTCTCAAATCCTCCTTCTAGCACTTGAATTCCTGGGTTTTAAGTGTGACCCACCATGCCCAGACCAATTTTCAGGGATGTTTAGTAGTCATTTCTGTAGTTGGTTTGATCATAGGACCTTGAAGCTGCTCTGAATGACACCGAGAGAATTATCAAGTTTCAGCCACCCCCATGTTTATGTAGACTCAGTCTAATCTTAGGAAAGGAAATGAAGGAGATTTAGGCTGATTTCCAGATGCACTGCTGTTTCACTTTGGATGTTATGACACTTTTAGTTGCACCTCAGTTTCCAACTCTTTTCAGAGGAATAGTATTATATACTACTATGTCTTGGCAGGGGAGGGATTTCAAATGATTCAATATTTCCAATGAAGTTATTTTTTATTTGATCCAAAAAATACTTACTAAGCACTGACTAAGCTTGAAACGGGGGATATAAAACCGCTCTAAAGGATGATTCCTTGTTTCAGATGCAAAAGTAGGGTTTGGAAAAGCTGAGTGAGTTCTCAGAAGTTCACTAGCTGTTAAGTGGCAGAGGCAGACTAAAATCCAAGTCTTGTCTGACGACAAGTGTATGCTGAACCCCCTTTCTACCACTAGCTTGTACTTATCTAGAAATACTAGAACATGTACTTAGCACCTGTTCTTCACCTTTTTACTTCATAGACATATCACAGATCTAAGCAACAGAGATTTAATTACTGTACATCAGCCATTTCTTCTCCATTGACCAAATCCATCTCATTAATGACAATCAGCCATCCTGGACTGGACAGTAAGTACACTGCTTTAAAAAAAAGTTACATCTATCTTAACCACTTTTCTTGTTTCTTACTTTAAAGCCCAGTATAACATTATTTTCAAAATGTGCCTGCTTCTTCCTCTGAATAAATGACTCAGCACTTAAAAGGTCAGCTTTTGGCTCCTTTTCCCTTTCCTGTTTAAAAATCTCCTTAATACCTTACATTTTTGGCTATAAAATATAGCACACTTTTGAAAACATATTTTGAAAATTTCACACTTGAAACAAGTTGTAAATGGACTGCATTGGAAGTAAAAACTCTTGTTATCTTTAGGAAATGCTAGATAGTTTGCAGTGAACACAGCGGACAAGTCTGTCTAACCAGGATTTAATCAGTATTAAAGAAACATTCACCCTCCTTGTCTTGCAAGCGGCTGGCTGTCTTACTTGTGCAGAATCAAACTGCTTTCTTGTGTCATCCTGCCTTGCAGTGGCTCAGCTCTTACCTGTCCCTCTTCTTCCCTCAGTGATTAACATGGGAGCATCTGAAAATGGATGCTCATTGAGTTGTTGTCCGAAATGACTTACATTAGAAAAGACACAGAAACCTATATATTGCCAAGCTAGAACCCACTGATGTGGAAGGAAACACTGTGTAATGAGGGTAACCACAGTGCTTGTATCATTTCTGAGTGGAAAGTAGACAAGCTGCAGCCTCTGGGGGCGGGAAGCCGTGACAGCACACATTGACAGCTCAGTTGTGATACATTAGGGAGGATGTCCCTGAGAGAAGATGCCCAGCAGACACCTGCAGACCAATTCTCTTCTTTGCATCGGAGAACAGAACCAGGGGTTCTCTGTCTCTATATCCTGGGAAACTTAGTTTCTTAAGAGAACTTAAGAACACACTTCATAGCTTCTTTCATACACAGAATAAAAGTAAGCCATTGTTTTCAGCTTTCACTGCTCTCACCTGAAAGATGTTTCAAATAGTAAAGAAATTGTATGCCAAAACTCTTAAATACTTGCGATCATAATGTTCAGAGAGGGTGGTACCCATTAGACATTTGAACCTCATAGGCTGCTTGCTTGCTTGCTTGTTTATTGATTCATTGATTCATTCATTTATTTAGTGCCTGTACTAGGGCTTGAACTCAGGGCCAAGGCACTCTTAGATTTCTCAAGGCTGGCACTCTACCATTTGAGCTACAGTTCCACGTCCTGCTTTGTACTGGCTAATGGGAGATAAAAGTCTCCTGGACTTTCCTGTTCTGGCTGGCTTTGAACTATGATTCTCAGATCTTAGCCTTCTGAGTAGATAGAATTGCAGACATGAGCCATGAGGGGCCTGGAACTCAACTCCAGTTTTTATACATAATTTGTATTAGTTTTAAAAAGATGTATGAGTCATGTGAACACAGATCAGGGCAAGTCTCTGGAAAGTTAGGCATCAGAGCTAGTAAGATTATTTTATCTATATTTTTGGGGCTTGTATTTGTTCTCTAATTGTTTGATGTGCTGCTTCCCAAATTCATGAACTAAAAATCATAGTATGTGCAAGTCTATGCATTCTTAAGACCAGTGTCCCATGGAACATACTGAAAAATAATTGGCCATGTCTGTATAGTAATTACGATCTAAAGTCTCTGGGTATAAGATAAAAGCCTGAAGGTTATTTTGGCCTTTTGAAAAAAATCTGGTTGAAATGCTACTTACTTTCACTTATATTTTATGAGTTCACTTTAGTGACAAATTTATTTTTTTCTCTTGGTAATTGTGTAAATGTGCAAGAGTCTTGAGAGAATTTAATCAGAGACCCTTTGAGTGGGAAAAATTTTAAAGTACCTTCTTGGTTTTTCTAAGCTGCGACATCAGGTTAAAATGCTGAGTTTCATACCTACATTGTGCAGAATTGGGGACAGATCACAAAATACCTGTCAGCATTTCCCTCGTGGCTATTGGTACCATTCATCCTGAAAAGGTGGGGGGAAAACTCTAGAGAAAAGGAGAAAACACAGAAGGCAATTTTTTTTTGAAGACTTATAGATCTTTTTAAAACATTTGCATTATTTCCACCTGCTATTTAAGTCACTTAGCAGTAGCTACAATTCTGCATTACTATTCAGAATCTATTCTGAGGTTCAAATGCTGGCAGTCTGGTTGTGGAACATCTTCCAACCTCTGTCAGATTGAAGTCTTGAACTTCTTAACAGTCATACTGAGCAAAGCAGACTGTGTCTGATGTCACTAAAGATTGAAAACCATTTGTTGTTGCCTGCTGTTCCTTCTAAGTCCTTGGTACTCAGCTTCATATGTGATCAATCAGAACAATGTTTTTCCAACTTAATGACTTGTGGTCTCATTAGCCTTAGAGTTTTGATAATCTACTTCCATGTATGTTCCTATAGTCAGGGGAGGAGAAAGAATGCCTCTGCCCCATTCATTGTATCACTCAGCCAGGGAAGGGCCCTCCTGTCTGGTTCTGTCTAACTTCATTGCATGAATGAGGAACTGAAATGGAGACATCTTATCCTAAATTAGCAACAGGGCCAAGACTTTAGATGCTCACTCTAATGGTTCTTCCTGGTCACCAATCTGAATAATTAACCAGGTAAAAAGGAGAGAGTGCTGGATTTCTAGTAGAAGTAGATGATAGCATGCTTAGCACTGTGGAAACAACAACAACAGCCAAAAAAAAAAAAATCCCCCAAAAACAAAAAATCCAGCATTTGTTTTCTTACTTTGTATTCTTCCTGTGAAGAATCTCACAAAGGTGGTTCATGGAACCTGAATATTGGTCAATACTTGTCATCAGGGTAAAAATCATGTTTGTTTGTTTTTTCTCACTTTTCCCCCCCTAGATTCGCGGTCCTTCCACAACACCAGTGCTAACCTGGCCGAGAGGTACTCTCCGTTTATTTTGGTACTTTTTTCTAAATGAAATAAAAATCTAAACTGTCTTACAGAATTTAACTAAGCACACTAGATTATTTGAGCCCATTGGGTTCCTTCTTGCATGTTAACATAGGAATAATTATTTTATAAAAATAGGAAACAAAAGGAAGTGATTTTATACTGAAGATTATATCTTTTAAATGTAATATCTCTAATAGTTTTGCAGTTTTCTCCTTTTGGTTGTCTTTCTGATAAGGAATATCATTTGCATTTATTCATATAAAAACTCACATGTATTTAAAGCACACTTTGGTTATGGGGATTTTTAATTCCTAAGTCTTAACAGCATTTTGTTTCATAATTAGTGTATGAGCAGAAGGTGAAGGGAACAGGAGAAGAAGGAGGAGGATGGAAAAGGAGAAGGGAGAGGGAGGAAGAAAGATGTGGGAGAGGGGGAGAGCATTCTTGCAGTACTGCAGTCTTAGTATTAGTCACTGGGGCCTGGTAGTATAGCCAGTGGTAGACGTCTTGCTTGGCTAGAATGAGACTCTGGTCCTATGTCCAGCATTTGAAAGAAAGAGGGAGCAGAGGGGTAGAGGGAAGGGAGGGAGAGAAAAGGAAACAAATAAACACTCTAGTCTTCTTATTTTATTTTTTCAATGTATGTGATATACAGCTTTGTCTGAATAATTGAATTGGTTCTTTTAAGAGGGAGGAAGAAGGCTGCTAGGGATAGAAGCAAGGACCCTTGCATGCTGGGCAGGCATTGTATCCTTGAGATACAGCCTAGTCCTGAATTAGGTCTTTGCTTGACAGCAGAGAATATTTTTGTTCTGTCTCTTTAATTTTTTAAAAATTTCTTTCATACTTATGAAATTCAATATTCTAATTTAAGCAAGATTGAGGTTCTGATTGTTGCCCTGACGTTGAAGTTACCTGCTTTTTTGCAAAGCCATTGGGTTGTGATTCAGTGACTGAGACTGCTTTCAATGAGTGCTTCTCTTTATAAAGTTGCTTTTGTAGCTTTTACATCCTTCTCCAGCAGTGATTTTTGCGTCCTTTCATTTTTATCTCTGTAAATATCACATATACATAGAGGTAGCTCTCAGGAGGGCCCCTTCGTAGTTCTGCCTCTGCCTGCTCTCTCAGAAGCCAATACTACTCCTCTGTGGGAAAGTTCCAAAATAGTGCCTAAGCAAAGCTATGTAAATGGACTCTTCCCATGTAGTGAATTATTAAGTGCCCAGTATTATTTAAGAAAGCCAGCCACTGTAAGTAGTTTCCTGAAGTCAAGTCTGTTTCCCACGTAGATTATCTGTAAGCTTCCTGAAGTACTTAAGTAGATAAAATGGATCTCTCTGCATTCTACCTGAATTCTGATTGCCTTCTCTTCTTAAAAGAAGAGCACAGGCATGGCTTCACGCACGGACTAGCTCACAGTCTTCATTGCCCAGTATGCTAAAAAGGCTTGAAAAAATGTATGGTCTCCACTGTTCAGGAGACAGGATATGCACTCAGTCATAGGTTTTGTTTTGCAAACCTTATTACCAACAGTCTGCCATTCATTACATACACAGATTTTCTTTCAGACACTTGTTGCAAAGAAGTTTGTAGATTGAATGCTATTTTTGGTTAAGAAGTTTCAGATAAAATAATTACGGAATATTAACAGAAGTCCATAATTGCAATATTAATGACTGCTATAAAAAAAACAACAACAACCAGTATGAACATCATAGAATATTGTATGAAACCGTTCAGGGTGTCTCTTTCTTTGCTTCCCATTTAACTTTTGTAGTCCTTAAAAAAAGTCAATTTTCTTGTTTTCATTTAGTATAACAGAAGAAAACTACAATTTCCTGCCACCAAGCCTCACCAAGAAAGATTTTGAAGGGAAGAGTGGAACCAAAGTTAGTCGTACCTTCAGCTATATCAAGAATAAAATGTCCAGCAGTAAGAAGAGCAAAGTAAGTGTCATCCTTGGCATTTGTACGGCCACCTCAGTCAATCATCTCACAGGCTGCAGACACCCCCAACTGGAGCTTGACCTTTACATCAAGTCTCTGCATATTCTTTGAAGCACAGGAAAGTATATCTCAAGTCATAAGGCTAGATGATAAAGCAGAAGTGCTTGAAGTCTTGCTTGTCACTTGATGGTTACTCTCAAACACAATCTGTTATTAGTAATATTATTATAGTATTGTTATCTTCAAGTTTGTTAATCACCATAAAAATGCCATCTTAATAATCATGTGGGCAACCTACACACTTGATAAAGAGATATAGGTGGCAATCCAGGGGTTTGGATTTGTGATTTTTTTTTTTTTTGGTCTGTTTCTGTTGCTAGAGACTGCACAACCCTCAAAGATCTTGAAGCCAAGACTAAAAGAGGAAACAAGCTCAGTTGTGAAAGAATATTGTCAATTTAACTAAGGAGAGTGATCAGAGGCAAGAGGTCAATTGTTACTTCAACCATTTCTACCAGCAGTGACAGATTAACCTCTAACACAATGGCCCTTTCCCTTGTTGGTTCTCCTTTTCCCTCTCCTGGCAAACTCTAGTCTTTGAGGTAAAAATAAATTTACAAAGGAGAGGCTTCTATTCGTATTCCTGGGTATTTGGAAAGGTAAAAAGGAGGATCCCAAATTTGAAACAAGTCTGGGGAAAATAAGCAAGACCCTGGAAGCAAAATACAAAGGCTGTGAGTAGGGAGTATGGCTCAAGAGGTAGAGCTGTTTCTTAGCACTAGTGAGGTCCTGTGCTCAACACCACTAATGCAAAAAAAAAAAAAAAAGTAAATGAGATTGTTAAAGGGCTGGTAGAGTGAAATAAACAGCTAATAAGATTGTTATAAAACTTACTGAGAAACATCTTGATTTTGTAATTGTAGGCAAAGATAATAATAGGGGACATAATGAAGCAGTGTTAATTGCAGTAGAGATTTACCGGACAGAAGTATTTTATCTTTTTAATTATTACAAAAATAAAGGAACATTAAATTTTCCTTAACTATGTATAATGTTATATTTCCATGATGTTAAAAAAAAGATTTTAGTACATACAGCAGAAGACATCTGGTTTACTTATTTTGTTCATCTTTTAAATAATTACACTAAAGTGACATCTATAATACTTACCTGAGGATGGTTTGGAAATGATGATGATTTATATACATGATTTAGGAAAGTAAGTCATAATTATTAACCTTGGCTTCTTACATTCAGTTTATTTTACTGTGTCTATAAATTATTTAGCACATAAATTGTTGGGTTTTGCTTTTTAAAATTTTAAGTGGTTGTGCAAAGGATACAGTTTTTAAATATTTAAATCAGTTAAATTAGACAGCCATCAGGCAGCAGATTGTTCACATGTACTGAATTTTATATTTTGCAGATACCAGTAGATTTTACTGTACATAAACTCTATACTTTCAATATAAGATTGTTCACCCAACCTTTTTGGAGTTGCCAATAACTGGCCTAAGTTATTAGCCAAATGTATCAAATGTTTATGAAAATGTTGGGGAACTTAAACAGGAAGTCTAACGGGAAGCTGACAGCTTCTGCTTTTATCTTTAAGAGGTGGTAATACTGTTTCCTGCTAAGTCTGCTTGTTTGTATTTACATACCCAAATGCCTAATTTTGGGTTCATAAAGTGAGTGGAAGAAACCTCTTTCAACCATTCTATCTGTTTTTTTGTTTCTATTAAGATTTCTTTTCTGCATAGACAACCAGAAGGTAGATGGAAATATTTTAGACCAGTTCTTAGTCTAACTCAGCGTAGGTGTTTTTGTGTACATGAGTTATATTCCTGCCCGCCCCCCCTTTTTTTTTGGTGTGGCTTCTATACGAAAGAACTTAAACACATCAGCCTTTCAAAGGTATCTAGTAAAGCAGATTACTATTTCTCATTTCTTCTTTAAAGAAAACCCTTTGCTTTTCTTTTTTACCACAGGCAGCTTCACTAAACATTTTCTTATGATCTGATCTTTATAAAATTTGGAGCAATAGTTCTGGTTCCTTAACTTCTGCTGTGAAAAACTTGGCCTTAGTCCTTGCCAGATTGTCCATATTGCACCAAAAGGACCATCAACACAACAGCGTCTTTTGGAAGATTCGTTTTTTCTCCCTTCCTGTGTCCTTTAAGGCAATTGGTATGCTCTTCTAGCAGCATTCAAATAGTTAAGACAGTTTGAAGGAAACAGGCAGCTTCAGCCCTCCCTCCTTCCCTTTCTCACCCAGTCTCTGGCTTCCTCTTACCATCTTGCTAATGGCAGCTCAAAGCTGCTGAGTGCTGCTTGGCTGGCATGAGCCGTCCTTCTGTGAGAACACGTTTTCTGGCATGGGGGCTGGATCATGTCGATAAAATGGGGTCGGCTTCCCGAAGTACCCCTCATAGCAGTGAGATTCACAGGACTGAAACATGGACAGGTAAGCGCCTGACTTCTTTAAAGAACTGAGCTCTAATGAACACAGGATGAACCAGTGTAGCTTTTTTTTTTTTAATCCTTGGAAGAACTAGTGCCATTGTTACATATAGAATGATAATTATTTATCATTTATTCACATTTGAAGAGCATAGCAAGGCTTGAGAGGATAAACTAGTTGCTATAGAGAATTTAACCATTGAAGCATGCTTGTAGCTTTTTTGAGCAATAAAAGAAAAATCAAAAGTTTTTAGTTTAGCAGTTTATGCATGGAGAAAAACCTTTAGAAAAGTGCAATTGAAAGAAAAAGGGAGTTACTTGGGCTCAGATTTTGTTAAGACTTTCGTGTGCTAATTTTCGTTTAGAACAGTTCCTGTTTTGTAAAATGGAGTCATTTAGTTTTGGTTTTTCTCCCTTCTGGTGTTTTGTTTTGGTAGCTTACTAGTATGGGCAATTTGGCTCTTAGATTTCTGTGACATATATTCTGTTAACAAAGGACTTCATGTGAATGATAGACTTAGCAGATATTTACCATTTCTTCCTAGTAGATGAGTTCTGAAGAAGAAGGCAGAAAACACGGGTTGTAATCTTGACCACTGATCTTTTCCTCAGAAACATTTTGCAAATCAAGGAACCTCTCAGGCCAGGTCCACTTCAATTGAATTCCAGCAGGAATACTACCTGTGTACACTTGAGTGCATTATTGGGCATCCCTAACCCTCAGTCTCCTCAGATATGAAATGGGGATAAATAGAACTAATTTGGTTATTGTAATAAAATGTATGAATTACTTACTATGATGCTTCATCACCCTTCATAGCTGTTCAGGATTTTGGCTGTCATTTATTATCCTTTCAGTGGGAAAGAACATTCATCCTGTCTACTTCATTGTTACTGAGTCAGGTAGAATAATCTGTGTGGAAGGTATTGATTTAAAATTACATGATAATAGTTGTTATGCTCGTGAACCCACTTGTTAGGTATTTTCTAGATTCTAACAGTGGCGATAGAGGTGAATTGTAGATCTTCATGGTTCAGTTGGTTTGAAAAGAAATTAGTCCTTAGTCCACTGATACTGATGAGTCAGTTGAATGCTTTGCCAAATATTACTTCTAAAATATGGCAAGTAAAGAGCATGTTCTGGCCTCTTAAGTTCACTGTGAACCTGAAATGTCCCTTACTATTCTAGGTATTTCAGTAAGCATTCTTCAGTTACTTGTTCAATATCAAGGCTTAAATACCTTTCCATTTCTCTTCATGCCTGTGTAAGTTTTGGTAACAGCCCCTCTTGGATTGATGCTTGATGTCACATGGAAGCCCTTTGCTTTCTTGTGTTGCCAGAGAGTTTCTGACATTCCTGTATTGTTTTGAGGTGTCAAAAGTGAGAGCAGTCTGGTACTCAAGCCACCTTTGTCACACCCTGTGCTAGTGTCCTGAGCTCAGTCACCAGAGAGTGCCCAGTGCAGTGGCTGGTAACTTGAGAACACTGTGAATGTCAGCCTCCTCCTCCTCCTCCTTCCCCTCCTCTTCCTCCTCTTCCTCCTCCTCCCCTCCCTCTCCTCTGGGAGGTCAGGGAGACCATGAGGATGCAGGGTGCTTCACAGTAGAGATCAGAGAGCAGGTCTTGGGAAGCCTTTTCCCTTTAAACCAAGGATGTTGTGCCTGCTTTTCTGTTTTTCTGGGCCTCCAGGCAGAGCAGTGAGCGGGCAGGCCTGGGGAATGCCTGTCTCCGGGTCCCTGTTTTCACTGGAGAAGTGGCCATGGTGGCTACTTGTTTGAAGGGACAAACAAGGCAGTTGTCCTCTCCAGACTTCTTATGCCTCTCTGCCTTGATGTCCTCCTGATACTCCTCAGTTTCTTTTATCCTTCAGTCATGGTAGTCCTTCCTGATAGGCACACCTGTAGTTCTAGATACTCAGGAAGCTGAGATCTGAGATCTGGTTCGAAGTTAGCCCAGGCAGGAATGTCCATGAGACTCCAAAAGTGGCACTATGACTCAAGAGGTAGAGCATTAGCCTTGAGCAAAAAGAAGCTCAGAGACAGAGCTCTGGCCCAGAGTTCAAGGCCCAGGACTGGCCATAATAAAAAAAAAATTCTTTACTGTAAGGGAATGAATGTCAGTGTTAGGTTAGAGGGTGGTAAGCTAGCAAAGCTCAGATAGGAGTTATTACAGACAGTTTGTTAAATGTTAATACATGCTGTGCACTGTGCAAAATGCTCTCCATGTTTTATCTCACTTATTTTTGTTTGTTTGTTTGTCAGTCATAGAGCCTGGGCACTGCCTGTCTCTGGGCTCTTTTGCTCAAGGCTAGTGCTCTACCACTTTGAGCCACAGCATCACTTCTGGTTTTCTGGTGGTTGCTTGGAGATAAGAGTCTCATGGACTTTCTTGCCCAGGCTGGCTTCAAACTTCGATCCTCAGATCTCAGCCTCCTGAGTAGCTAGGATTATAAACATGAGCCACTAGTGCCCAGTTTCTATTTTTTTAAACATAAGAAATGGGTACCTTTACCATTCTGCAAATAAAAGATAGGTTGGGTGAAATAGTGTACACCTGGCTACAGTACATTATTATAAGCAGTAGTGGTAATAGCAGAAGAACTTAATTTTCATCCCAGACCTAAGATGTCTTCCTTTTTCTCAACAGCCTCTTCTTTCCCATTGGAATATTGGGCCAAAGTTAAGATCCATAACTTTAAAAATTCTAATCAGTGAAATCTCTATGCGAAATATTTAATAGTTTTGGCTTAGAGTTCGGGAGGGTATCTCACAAAAGCTCCTCAGGAAGTGATTGATATGCAGCTAGTGTGATGTTTCATGCAGCATCTTTCCCCTCCCTGGAGAAATTCTGACCCAGAATTGCCACCATCCTTTCTCCTCTCCATCCACATACTGGCACAAAGCTCATGGCTTCCTGAGTGGATTATTACCCTGTGCCTTACCAAAGAGACTTGCTTGACAATACCTCTTGCTGCTGTTAGCCCTTGGGCTTAGTGTCTGTCGGTGTAAAGTTTCCCTTTGTTCGAAAATAGTTACCACATGCCATTTGGGCATTTAGGAAGACCTTTCAGTGTTGAATTAACTATTGAATCTTTTTTTCAGCAGGAAAAGGAGAAGGAGAAAGATAAAATTAAGGAGAAAGAGAAAGATTCTAAAGAAAAGGAGAAAGATAAGAAGCCTCTCAACGGACATACTTTCAGTTCCATTCCTATTGTTGGTCCCATCAGCTGTAGCCAATGTATGAAGCCTTTTACCAACAAAGACGCCTACACTTGTGCAAGTAAGAGACCTGCTTGTTCTGCTCCTAAGATGAGGCTCTCTTGGTTCAGGAAAGCTGATTTGCTTCTAGTTTCCTGTCCATCCTACCCCTTATCTGTTCCTCATTTATGTGCAAAAGTAGCTCTGGCTGTATTTTTCTTTAAACATCATTGAGGAAATTTATTGTAAATGTATAAACTCTAGCCTGTAATTTTTCAGACGTCCCCAATTTCAAATACTCTGCTCTATTATTCACAGACTACCTCCTATTCAGGAAGTCTGTGTCCCTGTCGGAACAATTCATAACCAAAAAACCTATAGTTGCCTAGCAGTCCCTTGTTGGGTTATGTGGGCTTATTTTTGTTGTTGTCTTGTGCTTTGTTTTCCTATGCTGGGGATCAGTCTTGAGGCTTTTCATATATTAGACAGCTCTCTACCTCTGAGTTATATCACTAGACCAAAGGATCAAATCTGTTCCTTTGGCATATGCTTTATCCATTTACCGACATCATGTGCATTGATGTTCCATATTAGCCTACTGCTGATCTCTGTAATAACCAGCTCAGTTCCTGGTTTTGATGAGGCACTCACAGGCCTGCCAGAGTCAGTTAACTTTTTTGAGGGCCATCTGGTCTGTCACAGCTACCAGACTCTGCAGTTGCAGGACAAAGTAGCCACAGATATATAAACCAAGGAACAATAAGGCCTTATTATGGACATAAAATTTAAATATTTGCATGTTGTATAAAATCCATCATTTCATTTCTTTTCCCTACCATCTAAAATATAAAAGCCATTTGTAGTTCATGGGCTAAGAGAGTGCACCTCTTTTAACCACAGGCATCCTAGTACCATTTTGATTTCTTGATTCCTCTTCCTATTAAGCCTAAGCGATTTCTGCTGGGCCCTCTGGGCAGTGAGCGTACTAAGGGCTCTGCTGTGCTGTCGGTGTGCACTAGGAGAGGATTTTTTTTTTTTTTTTTTTGGTCCGGTCATGGGGCCTGAACTCTGGGCCTGGGCGCTGTCCCTCAGCTCTTCAGCTCAAGGCTAGCACTCTGCCACTTGAGCCACTGCATCACTTCCAGTTTTCTGTT